TTTTCTTGCCGAAGAGGGAGTATTCGAATTGCTATATAGCCCGGGTATTTTCAGAGTAGGCCACGACTCCACGAGATGCTGTTCTGCGTCAGCTACGTTTTAGGATCTTGCAAAACATTTTCAATGGCTACCACTAAACCAACCGGAAAGCAAAAGCGAAAAGAAAATAATAATTATAAAATAATGGTGATAAACATAATCAAAACACGGAGTACTTTGCTTTAGTCAGGTTGATGATAGGTTAGTGGAAGAGAAGTATGGCATGTGCGAGACTGAAAATTATAGATAAGGTCTAACAATAACAACAACAACAGTAATAATAATAATAATAATAATAATAATAATAATAATAATAATAATAAAAGCAATAAAAAGACATTTTAGTACCGCCATCAAATTGCTTAACTTTATTGCAACGCACCTACGTCATCACCGGCGTGAGTCTCTGAACCTCTCCACACCGTGGCCTGCTGCAAATAATCCTTATCTGCCGTGTCTACCGCTGTAAGGTTTTGTCGCGTTCCATTTATCTGCTTTCCTCCAGGGCCATTGGCATATCCAAGGACAGTATATGGTAAGCCGTCCTTTGCTTTCGCGGGCTCTGTTTCACCTTTTTCAGTTGCAAGACCAAAGATTGGGTTTCCGCGCCGTGGGTAACCAGCCATGGTGAATACGTGAGAGTGGTCAGCGGATACTATAATAAGAGTCTCCTCTAGTATTAAAAAAAAAGATATCATAAAAATAAGTTCAATACTTTCATGAAAATTGCGGGTGAACAGCAACACGTGAAATGTTTTAGTTACATTTGCTGTTCGATATAAAGAAAGAAACGTTAAGTAACCATGAACTCTCAATGGCGTCTGTTGGCCATGTTCTAAACGCGCGGAGAACTTATGGACCTCAAAGGCTCTAGGGATCGTCTGAAAGGACAGCAAAACATGCAGTAGTCCAGTACCTCACAAGAACCTCTAATTAAAGTGGTCGTCTAAAACAATATTGCCTTTTGTGTTGAGGGTTAGGGTTATTGTTTGTGTGGTTATCCCATTGTTTTTAAAGCCAATTCTGTGAGCCGTTCATTGAGGTGCTGTTTGACCCAAAACATGGCGGACAGCAGTAAGACACACCGTCAGGATCATTCTGACAGAAGAAGACATAACTGGTGCATTAAGGGCTTTATGAATTCTGTAAAAGTGAAAATTAGTCGCAATTTGGAAACAGTTATTGCAATATTGAACAAAGCATTGTAGAGCGTCATGATATGTTTGTTGACCTTTATGCTTTCGCTCCAAACGATCCTAAGATGCGTTGTTGTCGTATATTGTACCCAGTTTTTCACCAGTTTAAAACATGGCAAATTGCTGATCTTGCAATGTATTGCTGGTTTTCAGTGTCACGCCATTCAAAATAGATCAAAATAAAAATCAAAACTGTTCAATAGATAAAGTTCAGAATCT